TGATTTGACAATTGTGGAGAAATAATTTTTTCAATATTGCCTATTAACAATAATGGAAAATACTACATGTGAAAACCCAACAATACTACATCTGGGTATGCTGGAAGAATGGTAAAAATGCTACTGACATACATATGGAGTTGGTCACTGCTGAAGGGGACAGGGCACTACCCAAATGTACAATTTACCACTGGATTGAGACATTTGAAGCTGGACAATTAAGCATTGAAGATTCCCCTCATTCTGGACATCCTAGCGATACTGTCACACCTTCAAACATTAATATTAATATTATTGAAGACCTTATAAATGACAACCCCCATATTACAATTGATAATATTCAACAAGTGGTTCCCATTTCAACTGGAAGCATTAAAACCATCTTACATGAAGAAATTTCTGTCAGGAAGGTGTGTACAAAATAGGTTCCTCACACTCTTACTAATGAAAACAAGCAAAAACGAGTTGAGGTTTAAAAGCAATTGTTGGGGTACCTTGAAAATGGGTTTTGAAATATTATTACTGGGGATGAAACATGGCTTCATTTCTTTACGATCTAAAGATGCCAACAAGGTTTGGCTAAGCAAAGGAGAAAACCGGCCACAAATTACAAGAACAGCTCAAAATAGCAAAAACAAATGTTTTGCATTTTCTTTTCAGCTGATGGAGTTGTGGCAAGCATTGTGGTAGAGAAAGGACAGATAGTCGCTGGTACAGTCCCTGGCGAAAGTAATGGCAGTACAATGAAACATTATTTTTGCTAAGTTTTTATTAAGTAAATTGACCTTTTTATATTAAATAAAGTTGTTCACAATGAAAAATTCTACATATCCTAAAATTTTTATGAAGTTTAGAGAAAATTTTTTGATGTGTTCTTGCACTTTACATTTGTGTAAAAAAATTTGATTTTTCTATTTCGTAAAAGCGTAAAATATAAAAACATATTAAAAATTTTTATCCAAACTTCATAAAATTTTTAGGATACGTGGAATTTTTCATTTCAAATAATTTTATTTAATGTATAAAGATTCATTTACTTAATAAAAAAAAAGTTTAATAGAAAAATGAAATTTAAAAAATTTTTAAAAAAGCCAAAGTTCCGATTTTTTTTAATGCTCAAATTAGATTCAAACCGGGATTGAGAAAGGAGGAAAATGTTTTATACTATAAACTTTTAAAATCATAATGTTTTACTTGGAGGTGTTTTAAAAATAAAATTATATTGATAGTTGCTTATTAAAAATTTTTAGTTTTTAAAAAAATTATCACCGCCATTACTTTCACCGGAGACTGTAATTTACTATGCCAACATAGTTTTACCAAATGTTTTCGAAAAATTCAAAGAAATCAACAATAGAAGCACAGTACGTGACATCATGCTGCATCATGACAATGCAGCACCACACAAGGCAAAGGTTGTCACTGAATGTCTTCAAAAAGAACAAGTTGTAATGCTTCCCCGCCCTCCTTACAGTCCCAATCTGGCCCTCTGTGATTTTTTTTTGTTCTCTAAAATTAAGAAAGAACTTGGTGGGAAGAGGTTTGAGAGGATTCAAGACCTTGTGAATGCTGTAAAATCAATAACAGATAACATACCACAAGAAGAGTATTTTAATTGCTTTCAAACTTTTGTGTATGTGACTGAGACATTGTATAAAAGTTAAGGAAACTATTTTGAAGGAATGAGTTAATATGTACAGTACCTGGACAAAAGTTTCAGAACACTTGCTTTTGTTAATTGCGCAAAAATATACATAATAAATATATGAAATTTATATCATTTGCGGTTTAGGTTCTTGTGAATATCTATGCAAAATCCCATGCACCCAAGTTCTGTATGGATTAAAAAATTTTCTTTGACGATCACTAAATTTCTGATGCTATTTTATTACTCAAATTCTATGTAATAATTTTAATTTAAAATTTTAACTACTTTTAATATTTAGTTGGCATCCTTTGCTCTTTATACAAGTTTGAATTTTTCTAGACATGCTTTCAATCAAATCCATTAAAATATTTTATTCCATTCCTCTTTTAAAGCAGCCTCAAGTTCAAGTTCTTTAAGAATTCTTAGATTGTTAGGGCGACTTCTAATACGATATACTATTGTGGTGGGAAAGCCAAATATTTTAGAAATACTTCTATATGAGGCTCACTTTTATAAAGGTCAACTATTTGTCCACGTTGAGATTCAGTTAAATTAGACATTTTTTAAAATTTTGAAACTTTAAGATTTTTTTTTAAAAAAAAGATCTTAAAAAATATGTAATAAAAAATATTTTTTCAGAATCACCAAACTTGGGTTTTCATATGCAAATTTTCCAAAACATATTATCAGTGTTGGAAATTTTATGCCGGGGTTTGTGCTACATTAAAGGTAGCCAATAATCTATTAGCAGGATTTGTGCAG